GTGCTGTTGGGGAAAGATACTTGAGATAAAGTGTGCATTTTTACCATGCCTTCATGCACCTTTAAAAAGTCAGGGCAAACTTCTGGTCATAGATCAGCTACTTTGTGGTTACTTAATAGTATAAAAACACCAATCTAACTTGCTGCCTTCCAAAAAGTCTCATTTTCTATCCATGCCTTTTCAGTCATTGTCTTGCACAAATAGTAACAGTTCCACAAATGATCTCTTTCCCTTGGTACAGAAACATTTTTTCACAGCTGTGGGAGCACGTCCATTACTTAACTATTTCAATATTTTACTTTCCATCAGACATAGTCATAGATGGCTATCTCAGACTACAGAACAGATGTGCATTTATGTATTTCATCCAAATTACCTTCATTCATGAAACAGGACACTGGCTGATTTACATAAATTTCATATTTAAAAGGATTACTGCTGATCCTATCCATCTCTGCCTGGGATATAAGTCCAACTGATGCTTTCTGTCAACTATATTATGTTTTCTTGCCTGCACTGTGATTCCCAGTAAATCATGCATGGTATAAATAATCAAATTATTGAAGGGAATTCTATGTTCACCTCCTCAGTGCAATGTAATGCATTATATGTGGTAGACTTAGCTGCAGAATTCATTGATTCATTTAGAATATGAAATACTGGAAAACATAATTTGCTTTTTTCCACACTGGGGCTTTATTCCTTTTCAAGCATAAGCTTCAAAAGATGAAAATTCTCAGATGGCTAAAGAAAATTAAAGCACACCAAGTCTAAAAATTCCCTGCTAAATGTAGCTGGTAGTATCAAAATACTTAGCCGTCCTCCCCAGTTCCTATTATGTTCTCTTCCAAGTCTGTACTTTTAGTACAGACAATTGGAAACTTGATCCTAGCTAGGGCCAGAAATCCTCCTCAGTCTTGGTCTTTTCCTAATGAGCCTCGTAAATTAGCCTGTGCTGTGAGAAGAGAGCAGTTTGTTGTACACAAGGACTTAAATTGGATTGCTGCATAACTAAAAGAGCATTGATGTAAAAAGGTGCTTGTACAGAGGTTAGAGGGTATCAGGTTAGGCCAATCTTCTATTGTTCAGATAGCCACATGGCAGCAAGGATACCTGGACTGATTTCTTGAAGGTGTTCTTATTTTTCAAATGATTTCTTAAAGTGCAAAGATGGAAAAAAAGCTTCTTTGCAATATTGTGAGAAGTGTTTACCCTGAATAATGCATAGACAGAAAATAGTTCTACGGATGAAACGGCATGCATTCTTTTCTTTTTTTTAAATTTTCTATGAAACTTTTTTTTACTTTGTTTGATTTGCTTCTGGTTTTTGGTTTGCTTCTGGTGCGGGGGAACTAAACATAAACTAAATATATTCAAAGTTTTGGTGAACACATCAGTGTATGTTAAGAACTTTCCATCACATGTCTAGATGTATCTTGGGTGGAATCAGAAAGTTCTTCCTTGATGTATAACAAGCATTCTGTTTCAAGGCGAAGCATAATGTGATGCCTGTAGTTGTTCCACTTTTGGATAACATGTAGTGTACTTCTGATGTGTCTTACATCACTTTTGGTTCTTCAGGAAATTATGTTCTAAAACTGTGTTTTATCTGTCTGTCATGTCTTCTTTTTTTCAGAATCTGTCTTTTAAGAGATGAAAATATCCATTAAATGGCTGCTTTAAATGATACTAAGAGAAGTGTTTGTTAATGGAGTTAACCACATGATACCTTGATATATATAAAAAAAATCCAATAGAAGTCTTTATTCTCTCAGTGTGTTGTTTAGCAATAGATTTTGCTTTCTGGCTGCCATAGAAAGTAGATGCTTAACTGCATTTCATGAAACATGGGGTTTAAAGTTAGTATTTATTTTTGTTTGAAACAGAGGGCCTTTCCTTGTAGCATTAGGAAAATCCTGGCACCCAGAAGAGTTCAACTGTGCTCATTGCAAAACTTCCATGGCTTATATTGGTTTTGTGGAAGAGAAAGGAGCATTTTACTGCGAGGGTTGCTATGAGAAGTTCTTTGCTCCAGAATGTGCCCGATGCCAGAGGAAGATACTTGGGGTAAGTAAGATGTAGATTAGATACTGACATACTAAAACTAGCTGTTTCTGTAAGTCGTCTTTAGATTGATGCAAGAGCAATAAAATAACGTTTTGTTTTCAGTTTCAAAATTAGAATTAATCTGCAGAGTTGTGTATTGCTTTTCTCTAGTTCTTCCCATTCCAGAATTATCCCAGAATTATCATAATCCAAGTCTTAACACCTGGCCAGTGTTCTTTGGGACTGGAAGCAATCTGGATCTGGTTATTACTTGAATGAGAGAGCACCAGGAATTCCATGGCAATGAATAATCCTGGGAAATGGGAAAAAACATTCCAGAAGGAGGCAATCACAAAACCACTTTGATATTGCTGTCAGGAACATTGCATAGATGTATCCATACAGCCACTAGGAGTTGAGTTTGAGAGTGTCTTTACCTTTCTCAGGTGTAGTTACATGGCTTGGGAGAGGCTAAAGCGTATGTAGAAGCCAGAGTTTTAACATCAGCTCTTAAGTATAGTTCAGAGATGCAAATAGGCTGGCAGAGGACATGTATGCTAATGTAACCGCCTGCTTCTTGCTTGCTGAATTGAAAATCCTAAATAGTTATTCAAGATAGTAACTAATGAAATTGGTGACACTAATGAATCCTGAGCTATGATCATCCCCTAAAAGCTGGAGAAAATAATAGATTTTTGAAAACTATCTTCAAATGTTAAGTGGAAAGCCTTTCCAGGATTCAAAAATGTTCAAATTCTAAAATACTATCACTGAATTTAGTGGTATCCAGAGCATAAGGTATCTAGGACTCATCCAGCCCCTTCTATCAGATTTACAGTTCTCAATAGAACAGTAAATCTATTAACTGTAGAGTTGAACAATAACTGTAGAGTTGATGTACCAGTGCTCAAGACTTGCATTTCCCAGTTTTATGCTTTCATTCCATTCCAGAAATATACAGAAGTCTGTAAAAGAACAATGAAGCTATCCATCTAATTCAAATACTCAAATACTCACACATAGATATTGTTCGTTTGCTTGTGTTTTGTTTTGTTTTTGGTTTGGTTTGATTTGATTTGTTTTGATTTGGTTTTCTATACTAGGAAGTAATAAATGCTTTGAAACAAACCTGGCATGTCTCCTGCTTTGTGTGTGTGGCCTGTCACAAGCCCATTCGCAACAATGTTTTCCATTTGGAAGATGGTGATCCTTACTGTGAGGCAGGTAAGCATTACCTATAGCAACCCAAATAAGGGGAAAAGGGGATGAAAGACATAAAAATTACTGGGCAATTTCCTTCCTTGCTGATGTGAGTCTACCAGTTCAGCTAATAATGTTTCTACTTTTAAAATAGAATTAGAAAACAGGTCGGCCTCATGCTCTTAGCAGCATCTAAAGCAGGGCAGAATTTCTCTCAGTTCATTTGAACTGGAATTCAGTTCTTGGCTTGATAGAAAATATAAAGGCAAATTAGAATTATTATATCTGAAATTTAAAATTAGTAATGAGTGCTACCTATCAAAATGAAAATACTGAAATAAAAGATAGCCAGTTAACATATCTAAAATGGGAAAGTATGAATTTATGGAATTTCCTGCAGCAGTGTATTGTTCATTTACTTTTATTTATATAATGTATCTCACTTTCATTGATTTTTTAAAAATTCTGATTAATTATTGCTTAGGTTCGCTTTCATGTTTCATTCTTTCCTTTTTTAAAAATAATTCTGCTATATCCCCTTTCTTTCTTTTATCACAATCCTTTCTTTGTAAGGAAATTAATCACACTTTTTCTTTCTTGCTTGTAATTGAGTTAGCAAAACCAAGGGGCAAGCTTTCTTGGCAGAGGACAATAATTGCTGTGCAAACAAAAGAGATGCTTCAAAGTTGGCTCTTGTTAAGGATGGATGGTAAAAAATTTTAAAAAATGGTGCAACCCAGCTTTACAGCACTGAATGGAAGTAACAAAAGTAGTAAAGAAAAGTAGTTCAAGCATTGATCTTGCACTCAGTGAGTTTTCAGGGGGGCTCCTCTTCAGTTGGAGTTTCAGGTGGCATTGTGGAATCAGTCGCAGATTCAATGTCCACACTTGGAAATAGCACATCTCTGATCTGCCTTTTGTGGACTTTCCTTGCACAGATTATTTTGGTTGCTGCTGTTACCATGGTTAATGTAACAGGAGAAAAATCTTAGACTATGTGTCTGGGGCTGAAAAGGAAAGAAAACAGAAGCTCTTCAGTCTGTTCTGGCTACTGTTCCATAGAAAAGTTTGTAAACCTCTTAAAAGTATTAGCAGCAGCCAAGTTAAACAGGCCTACATTCATTTTCGGTATGATACTGTGAAATAGAGAGAAGAGAACTTTGTCAGATTTAAACAAGTATATTTGAATAATGTATTATATCAAAGGTAGCACGCAAATTTGGCAAGCTCCTTGAGTTGATAAAGTAGTTCCCATTTGGCTTCAAGCATTGAATTGGTAGCTGGAGAAATAGGCGCACTTGATTGTTTATATAAATCACAGACTATCTTAAATAGATTGTGCATATTCTGTATGCACACATCCTGTGTTTGTGCTCCATTCACCTCTGCAATAAATAGATTATTGGAGTACATGCATAGGGTGTGTGCAGAGTACAAAAACATTGTACAAAAATAGTCATTTGACTTAGGACAACTTTTAGATAAATTCTACTTTGCATGTGATTCTTTATTACATCCATTACTATATGAACGGCATTTCATCTTGGTCCTTTTAACAGAATCAAATTATCTGATGCAAAAAGTTTGTTCAGAAAATTACAATGACTCTAATAATTTCCATATTGTCACTTAAGGTTTTGTTTTTTATCTGTCTCACTGATTCAGCTGGTTTTCAGCCTGATTAACTTCCAGCATGGGCCTCTCATGTCTGGGCTGCAAAAATCAAGACAGCCATTAGGTAGCAGCAAAGAATTCTATGTTGGTTTTTCTGCTGCCATCTGGTGGTGATACCTAATTTTGTACCCTTACATTAATAAGGTTGCCCAGCAGCAAAATATTTAATCCTCCTACAAGTGATAGTTTATAGTTTATTGTTATATTACAGTTTATTGTTATATTACATATATTATTGTTTATTGTTATATTATAGTTTATTGTTATATTACAAAGAGAAAAGGTGTTAGCAAAAATTTGTATCTTGCTGAATATTCTGTCCTCCCACTACTCATCCATTGAGATTCTGGTAGGGGTTAATGGGAAGATTAAGCAAATCTATGTTTGGCATGTCACTCCCTTTAAAAAGAGCATCTGCTTATAGTATTTAGTGCAAAGAACTGGTTAATCTTGTGAAAGGTTCAGATGATCAAGCTGGGAATGAAGATTGGGCATGATTGTCTGATCTCTGGACTGCCTTACAAATGCAAGTCACTGAAATCACCACAAGCACTCATAGACAAAGTCTATGTCTTCTCTCTCCACTTCTTTATAACACAGGGGAACAGTAGTAGGGTGGAATGAATAGCTATTGCATTCTGTTGCAATTTCCATGATAGCTGCAGGATATAATTGGGTAGAATCTACGTAATTCTTGGAATAAGCTATTCCTAATTAATCTGAAGCTGTGGACATATCAGCAGGGGCAATGTTATTATGCCAGGTTGACTCAGTTGAAATTTGGGGCAACTAACTGTTCTGCAGACTTCATTTCTTGTCAGTTACATCAGAAGTTACAATTATTGTTGAAAAAGAATCAGACAAAGTAAGATATTAATAAGGGAAAGGGAAAGAACAGCTGAAAAATGTATATAGTGAGCAATATTGAATGGGCGGTCTTTCTACCCTAATACTTTTTAATATCTTGGTTTTGTCTCATCTTCAAGGATTTTGTCCAATACTGTAGGCCTACAGCATTTATTCTGTTGCTGATTTTGCTGAAACTCTAAGTGTCTATATTATGTGTTCTACAGATTATTACGCACTCTTTGGTTCCATGTGCCATGGATGTGAATTCCCGATTGAAGCTGGGGACAGGTTTCTGGAAGCCTTGGGCCATACTTGGCATGATACCTGTTTTGTGTGCTCAGTAAGTATAAAAACCATATTATGAGTCATGTATGTTGGAATGTGCAGGAGGTAGGGAGGAGTGGAAAGATAAGAACAGCCAAGCTGGGCACAGCAAAACATCTAGCATCTAGTCCAGCATTCTGTTCCCCACCAGATTCTAATGAAAAGCCCACAAGCAGGCCACGAATGTAACCACAGCTTCTCATTTCGCAGAGCATGAAGAAGTACTAATGTACAAGCAAAAGTCACTTAATGCAGAATTCTATCCTTTAGCTCAGCAGGGATTGTGCTACTCAGTTACTCATACTTTGATAATGTCCCAGCTAGATATAATGTATTTGATGTTTGGCTGCCTTTACAAAGGGGTTGAAAATTTCAGTTGCTGATGAAGGCTTGCTATTTAGTATTGGTCATTCCTATATTGTATTCAACATTGGATACAATTATCATCATCATCAATTTCCAAGCCTATTCATGGTGCTAGTGTTCACCTTCAAAGACTGAAAAATGTAATATAAAATTTAGTTTTCCACTGTGGTTTTAGTATTTGATTTTTATTGTACAATTTGGATAGATTTTCATTTTACCATGTATCACTTTGGGAGGATTGCAATTGTAAAAGGCAGTATAGAAATGTTTAATACAAGCAATTAGGAAAAAATAGTATAGAGTTGGGGAAAACAGTGCAGAAGTCAACAGTTTTTTTAGGGAAAATTCCCTAATGGTGGAGCAGAATTCACAATTGCCCATAGGGAATGAAAAATTGTTAGTGACTATGGAATGCTGGTTGATTCTCATGCAGAAAAAAAGGGGAAACCCAAGAAGAGAATAAATGGATTACAGTAACTTGGAAGTCATGATGATGATCTGAACAAGGACATTTTGCACCATTTTCTTGTAGATCTCTCTTGTATATAATAATTCACAAAGACAGAAACAAAGAAATCTAGTTAGTCCAATAATGCATTGAGTACTGAAAGTATCTGGATTTTATGCATATATGTAAAGTTTTAGAACACTAGCCTTTAATTAGTTCTGTGCTATTTCAGATATGCTGTGAGAGTTTGGAGGGCCAGACTTTCTTCTCCAAGAAGGACAAGCCTCTGTGCAAGAAACATGCTCACTCTGTGAACATCTGAAACATTAAAGGTTGCTCAAACAAATATATGACAAGAAAAGAACATTGTTGGGTGTTGGTTTTCAATATGTATTTATATAAACTTTAAATTGTAGAAGCAAAGACATGGGAAGGAATAGGGTTTATGACTTCACATGAAATATAGGAGGGGTAATTGATTAGGTCTGATACCTCCCAGTTGTGTTTCGGTTGTGAAATTTTCAATTCAAAATTTATCTGGAGGGCATCAGGTTGGAAATAGCTGAATTAAAGTGATCTTTAATAAGAGACTGAAGCTAGATCTTTGTTGTTAATGAGAATAAATCTAAAAAAAGTGGATGTTGATTGGTTTTTTAATCAAATAATATTGTGCCTTAGTCCAATAATTTGTAGCAAATTTTGCATTGTTACTTAAATACTGCATATGATAAGCAGCTTCTTGGATACCGTAAAGAGGATGATGTGAGAACTCTGATATCTGGCAAATCTAGAAGTGGGTTTGTAGCTGCTTTACAGGTAGGGACAAACATTCTGGTTAATTCATCAGTTCAGGTAGAATCCAGCCCTCCATCAAAGAAACATTTGTCAGTGGACCAAGAAGAGTAATTTTCATTAGGTCTCCTCTGACTACAGACATCTTTGTATGTCCAGTTATGCTTAGTGGGGTTTCCAAACCCCTTTTGAAGACAGAACTCTTATTATTGTATTCTACTCATTTTAATGTTAGGTATCTGGATTTTCCAAAGATAAAGCTAGCAAATAAAACTGTTGGCATGCAAGAGAGTATTCATGTTATTAAGAGAAATTGAAGCAGTCATGTGTTAACACAGTTCCTTTAATTCCCACAGGGTATAAGATTTGTCTTTTGCATTTAATTTTTTAATTTCTGAAATAATGCAGAAAAGTTAAATAAACTTTACCCATCAAGTAATGAATTACTCAGCTGTGAAGGAAAGGTCTGTGGGTGTTCAGGAAGAATATAGTTTTGCTTCTCCTGAAATATAGCAGACATTGTTAAAAGAAGTCTGAGTAGTATGGATAGATGGGACTGAGTCAAGCTCAGATTACATAAAAGAACTGCTTACTCATCATTTACATTGTGTGCACATAGTACTTATTTTGTTGTAACATACAGAAAAGAAGGGTAGGGGGGAATGAAACAATTTCAGCTTTCTTAGATACAGTAAGTACTGAGATTTTTATTTTCTTTTGTGATTTTGTCATCAGCTGCCTTCATCATATGTAAAATACATAATGAATTATGTTGAATTTCTGTTTCAATACATCATGCTTGCTTGCCTCCTATCTGTGTGTGTGTGTGTGTGTGTGTGTGTGTGTGTGTGTAAACGTATAACTACCATTCTTGTCCCTGTATACATCAGCTCCTCTGTTCTGGTGGTGATGGAAGAAGAGAGAGAAAGGAAAGGCAAGAACTAATACTATAATATGTTCTTTAATGCAAGGATTTAAAAGAATAGCTTGATAGATTCCCAAATGGGTAAAGAGTTAACATAAACTGTAAGTAAGTGTTCTGAGCAGGCTGTGTCAGAGGTCTTTGTGAGGTTGAGGGAAAGTTCAAAATCTGCAAAATGGTGAGCTTGGTACCATGATCCAAGCCCCACCCCTTTTATGTGACATTGACACATGCAGAAAAGGGATGGAGCTTGGATCACCATGCTGCACCTGCCATTTACAGATGTTGACCTCTGGAATCCAGAGAGGTATTGGCTACTACTCCCTTTTGGGACCTCTAACCTTAATAAATTAAAAGTGATGATACCTGAAAACAAAATAAAAGCATTAAAAGAGAGAGACATTTGAATACTTTAAACATTTACAACTTGAAGCCCTCTTTAAGCTTGAATTCCAGGCTAAGTGGCCCTCATAAAGCATTCGCAGAATGGCCAGGATAGCCATGCAGATGTGCTTTTTATGTGGATTATGGATCCGTGAAAGCTGGACCATGATAACTTTGCAAAATAAACTATAGTATTTCCAGATTGGAACCAATTTAGAGTTCCCAAGTACTTACTAAAGAAAGGAGGGTTTCACTGAATTATTAAATGTTGTGTCATGTGATGATATCACATACTAAAATGGGGGGTATTAAATATTCAGTCCTCTGTATTCCTTCCAGTGTTGTAAGTATTCCAGCATTTTCACTTCAGAAGCATGGAGTAAATGGACTGGATCAGAGTTAGCCAAAATAGACCATTATAATCAAAGGAATTTAAATTAATCATGTTTAATTTAAATCCTATTGATTTTTATTGATCTGTTCTAAGTATGAACAAGTCTGTATCCAGCCCAATATATATGAGGTTTATTCCCTTTCCCCTAGACTCTTTAAATTTATTTTCTTCATTCATAAATAAATATGATTCATTCATATATAAATATCATATTTATATATTATAGGAGAAATACGGTTACCAATCAGCAGTTTTACAGGGCAATTTACAATTTGCAGAATAAGGTGACTTTGACTTTAGTGGCAAACGCTGAGCATTCAAGAAGTTATTTTGCTCTGCATTGTGTAAATGCCATACCATAGCCTTCCCTTGACTGAGAACTTCAGGAATTGTAGTTTCAGTCTCTGGAGAGTGGCAGGGTGAATAAGATTGGCCTAGCTGCTGTTATGAAAAATGGAAAATAGGATACACTAGGAGAAAAGGATAGTTGAATGTAATTTAAGAACATTTTCCATTGATAATTAGCCACTTATTTTATAAGAGAATTGAAACTCAGTCTATTTATGAACAGCATAGATTAAGAACAAGCTGTTGCATATTGTAATTAACTAGTACCTCATTCTTTGTTAATAGAACAAAGTCCCTTTGGTACAAGAACTAAGGTAAAATTTAAAGATGGTTGTACTTTGGTCAGGAGTGGTGGGGTGGCATTCAAAAGTAAGAGGAATGGATGTGCATTGTGTGAACTTAGGCTTGTTTCAGTCAACTGATATTCTGGTGATTTGGATATCAGTTCTCGTTTTATTTTATTGCTCTGTTTTAAAACAAGTGGTTCTTTTTAAAAAAAATCTTTGTCTAAACACATATCTGTGTTTCTGTTGTCATTTGTCTCTCAGTTCAGTTGTTGTAAAAAGCCTGGTCATTAACTTGACATGATGTACACATCAATAAACATGTCTGTGGAATTATGTTTTCCATGCTTTTATTTTTTAATGCCCACCTCTGTGTTTCATAACATCACAGCAAAGTGACCGTGTGCCTTTACCTGTAACAAATTATTCAACTTTCTTTTTTTTCTTTCATCAACTGGCTAAAAAACACAATAGCTGACAAAGTTGTGTGCAAAGATTGCCTGATGCTCTTTCCAAACTGGAGACCATCAATAGGCACTGCAATTCTATCTCTTCCAGCAAAGTTTATCTGATACTGTATTTAGCCTTTGCACAAAGCATTCTCTGATTTCACCTTACGATACTTAACCATCTATAGTAACATGGTCAATTACTTCATGATAACAGTAGCTCATAAGATTCTTATGAGCTGGGTATCTTTTCTCAAGGAGAATGTACTCTTGTTTTCAACCTTGTTTGTACAAGGAAAAAGGAACATTGCATATGACTATAAAAAGCTAGAGGCAGCTTTACAGGAGTCCAGCCTCTGCTGCAAGTGTTTAGGCTACAATGAAGACAAATGTAAGGCTATTTGCAAACAGTATATTAAACTCCAAAAGTAAAATTCTTAAAGGCATCAAGACTATGTTTGATGTTTTAACAGCAGAGTGTATGTTTCTGTCATTTTAACATTAACATGCAAAAAAGAAACAATTCTTAAAGGCATCAAGACTATGTTTGATGTTTTAACAGCAGAGTGTATGTTTCTGTCATTTTAACATTAACATGCAAAAAAGAAACAATTCTTAAAGGCATCAAGACTATGTTTGATGTTTTAACAGCAGAGTGTATGTTTCTGTCATTTTAACATTAACATGCAAAAAAGAAACAAA